GGAGCTGGATTTGAAGTTATTCTTGAATCACCTGATTCTCTCTCTAGATTCCTCTCTCTTCACCAAACAAGGCTTTGGAGGCTAGATTTTGGTGGGGGAAGGCTTGGAAGGGCTAGGGGAAGGCCTGGAGAAGGTTTTTGAAAGTTTTTGGAGGCTGGAAAAGCTTTGGATGATATGGATTGAGTGAGAGATGGCTTAAAGTTAATTTGCATGTCATTAGGATATTTTTCCCTATTCAAGCTATCCTGATGCATTGGAATGGTTGAGATTGACTGCATGGGCTCCTAGATGATTTCCAAGCGTCCATGGAGTTGGTGGGAGTAGGGAATCAAAAGGACAAAAGGACATGAGGTGTAAAACTTCTTTTTTCCCTTTGGAACACATGGTTTGATCAAGAGCCATTGGATCTAGATCTAAGGACTAGGAGGAGCACTGAGGAGGTTCTAGAGAATGCTTTAACAGCTGAAAAAGATTAAGAGGGAGTGGATTAAGCTAAAGAGGTCATTTGACCATCTTTGACCATGCATGTTGCCTAAAATTGACTGTTTGACTAGTCAAAGTCTAGGTGGACTGATGAGGTAGCATGAAGAGTATGCTATAGGTGCTGGAGTGATGGCTTAAAAGGGATTTGAAGCTTAAGGATTGAAATTTGGAAGAGTTAGAGAGGGTTTGAAGTGGTTTGACCAAATCTTATAGTTGACTTGGTCAACTTTGATTTGGGTTTGATTGGCCAAGCATTAGGGTATAATTAGGCCATGGTTTGGTTTTGATTTGATGTTTGAAAGGGGTTAAATGGGTTGAATAGGTTAAAATAACATATTTAAATATTAAAGGGTATTTAGGTCAACCTAGGTTGACCTGGTCAGCCAGGTTGGCCCAAGACCCGAATTTAGGCTCAACAAGTTTGGTTTGATGTTTTGATTCTGTTGGAGGTGGTCCTAAGGTCTGGGAAAGTTAAATCAGTAAAAATACCTATTTTGACCCTTAAGGGCCCGTTTGGTCAACCTAGGTTGACTTGGTCAACCAGGTTGACCCAGGGTCTGGGTTAGGGTTCAATAGGTTTGGTTTGATATTTAAAAATTGTTGTAAGTGGTTACAAGCAATTCGGAGTTCAATTGGTTTGAAATTGATGTTTGAACCCCTTAGAGGTATTTTGGTCATTTTGACCCCTGGTCAACTGGGAGTCAAAATGGGTCCACCAAAGTGCAATTTAATGTTCAATGGGTCAGGATTAAGTGTTTCAAAGTGATTAGAGACTTCGGAGAAAGCTCCAAGGTCAAAATCCACTATGTGGCAAGTCAGTGGCATAGGCTGTAAATATTTGAAGGTTTTATAGCCTTTGGATTTCAATTGCGTTTTTGGGGTTAGAAACCTCAGAATGGGCTCAAATTTGAAGGGTTACCTCTAGAGACATGTCTTATCACTGTACAATTGATAGACTCTGAATTAAAGGTCATTTGACTGGGTTTTGAAGTGTTTGAAAAATCATTGAAAAAGGCTTTCAAGACTTGGAACTTTGGCCTTGAGTTTGAGTTTGGATTGATCTAAGATCTAAGTAGATCCTAAGGTCTAGATTGATCTAAGATCTAAGTAGATCCTAAGGTCTAAAGTCTAGAAGGATCCTAGGACCTAGAATAGATCCTAAGGTCGGGATTCTAGGAGGATCCTAGAGTTTGGATTAGTTTAGGGATTAAATTGATTTAAGGTCAGGATTGGTCCAAGTGACCTCATACAAAAATGAGGTCAACATAAAAACTACTACTATTTCCCTCATTCCTAAAAAGAATAATGCTCTCAATAGGCCTATTTCATTATGTAATATTTTTTATAAGATTTTTGAAAAAAAAGTGGCTAATAAGTTGCAGGGGGTTATGCCTTTTATTATTTGTAATAGTCAAGTTGGTTTTATTAATAAAAGAATATTTAAGGATAATATCATCCTTGTTGTTGGACTTTTAAGAGAATTTAATACTTCTTATAGAGAATTTTTTTTTGTGTTAAATTAGATATTTGCAAGGCCTTTGATACTATTTCTAGAGAATTTGTGCTTGCTGGAATGACCCAGAAAGGTTTTCCTGAAATCTTTATATCCTGGATTCAAGGGTGCATTGATGGTGTTTATTTCTCTATTCTTCTTAAAGGTTCTCTTAATGGGTTTATTAGCTCTTCTTAAGGTCTTCGTCAAGGTTTCCCTCTTTTCCTTTATCCTTTCCGTATTATTATGAATGCTCTTTCTAATATTCTTGATGATAATTCTCATATTGAAAGTTTTGAGGGGGTAAAGGCTAGTGATGTTCCTTTATCTCACCTTTTATATGTAGATGATCTACTTATTTTTACTAAAACATCTATTGAGAATGTTATAAAGCTGAACGATATCTTAGTTTATTTCTCTACAGCTTCTGGTTTGATTATTAATAATTCTATGAGTTCTCTTACTTTCTTGAATAATTGTCATTTAACAGATGACATTAATCAAATTTTAGGTATTACTATATATAAATATCTTTTATAATAGTTGGGATTGCCTATTTCTAGTAAAAGATTTAAGATTTCTAATTATTAACCTTAGTCGTATTACTTTGCTTTTCACCGGTTGGAAATCAAAATTGCTTTCTTTTACTAGAAGGGTTTATTTTCTTAATTTTATTATTTCTAATATTATTTCATATTAGATTAGGGGTATTTATCCTCCTAAATTCTATTTTAAATTTATAAGAAAAGTCTATTCTAATTTTCTTTTTCATGGTGATTCTTTTATTATGAAGATTCACAAAATTGCTTGGAAAGAGGTTTATAAGCCTAAGAATGTTAGTGGTCTTGGTATATTTAACTCTCAAGCTCTTTATTTTGCTTATAGTTGTTCTCTTATTTGGTGGATCATTGATGACACAAGTCCTTGGCTAGATTGGATCAAATTTAAGTACATTTCTTTTTGGAAGCCTTGGTCTCAAACAATTTCTATCTTTTGGAAAATATTAGTATTATTGCTAGACATTAAAAGCAATGTTTTGTTTAATATTTCTCTCAATAGATCTCTTTCTTTATATTGAGATCCTTGGTGTAAGGAGAAAACTCTTCATGAGATAGCTGACATTAATATGGATTCCTCTTGGAGTATATGCTTGTTAGGGTAATGGATTACTGATGTTTATTGGAATTTTCCATCTTTTACGTCTTCTGCTATTAGTTCGGTTGTTTCTTCTATTCCTATTACTTATTACAAGGCTTCTAATATATCTTGAAAAGGGGTGTTACTTCCCTCTTTCAAAATGTTCCAAAATGCTTTTTATAATAACTTAATTAAAGTGGAATTATGTTCTTATATTTGACATAAAGATGTGCTATGAGATTTTCTTGTTATGCTTGGATGGAAATATTGAAAGGTCATAAAACATCTAATATCCTAGCTAAGATATATTTGAATGATCGTCTTTCTTGTATCCTTTGTTTAAATGCTGAAGAGAGTCATAATCATCTCTTTTTCTTTAATGTGATTTTTATTTCTGCATTATTTCAAATTTTCTGTTAGATTTAAAATTTTTATGCTTAGGCTCAATTTGATTCAATTACTGGATTATATTTCTTCTCTTCATTTGGATTCTAATGTTAAAAAAATTATTCTTCCTGTTTGTTTCTTGTTCTATTTATTTTATTTGGAAAGAAATAAATAACATGATATTTCTAATTTTATCCCCTTCTTTTAGTGTTTGTTAATCTTCGGTTGGGCTATTTTAGGATGTTTTCTCCTTTTTTAGTCTTGTTGAATTTGGGTTAGGTTTTTTTATTTATTTATTCTAGGTTCGTTGTTTTCCTTCTATTTTTTATTGGCTTGTGTTTGGTGTTTTTTGGGTTTCAAGATTCTGGTCTTTTTTAGAGCTTTGGATTTTCGAGATTGCTGATACATATTCTATAAATTTTTCATCTAAGGATTGACTTTGTTGTATTTTGAAAGTGTTGAAATTTCTTGTGCCCTTTCTCGTCTGCTAGTGTTGGATTCATGATGTTATGAGTGTGCAGTTGGCTCGTCAACTGGTTTTGGTTCCATGAAGTTATGAGTGTGCAGTTGGCACTCTGGATGTTAGGAGTTAGTACTTAGCAGGGAGAGACTGTATCTTCTTCTCACGGAACCTTATGTTCTCTATTGTTTCTGATGACAATGCTGTGCATGCAATTTTAACTTGTTTTAAAGGCCTATTTTTTCCTGATTATCATCCATCTTCTTATTAGAAGACAATGGTGTAGTTTTATTTCTTTAGATGACCTTTTTTAAGGCTTCATCTCTTTTTTTTTTTTTTTTAAACATTTTAATAAGTTTTTTTATATATTTATTTTTCTTATAAATGCTATATTTCTTTTGTAAACCATTCATTCTTAGGGGCTGTATGGATGCACCAAGGATTTAATTTAAATAGGATTTCATAAATCCTCTAAATCAAGATTTATGAAATCCTGAAAACTGTTTGGTAACATTCAATATAAATCCTAATTAATCCTTTGTAACTGTTTAGCAATTCAATTCAAGATTTAAGACGATTAAGAGATTTTATATTTATTTCTAGTATAATTAAAGTACACCAAGTGAAGTTTAAATAAAACATAACAAAATTTTGTTAATACTAATTAATTATTTAATTATTTTTAATAATATTTTGTAATAATTATTTTTATTTAAAATCATATTTAATCCTATTAATTATTTTGAAATAACAAAGTATTTAACTAATATATTTGCTTATTTATAACATTTTAATATCTCAATTTTTTTTATTGATAAAAAAAACATAATTTTTAAAATTATAATAGCTTTAAAATTGATAAATATAAATATATGATTAAAAAAAATAAAAAAAAATAAGAAAAAGAATATGCTAGGAATATTCTTTTTTTCATGTTAGAAAATGAAGTTCGATTGAAGTCGAGTTACTGTATTTTGGAGTTTTACTACATTTTGGAGTGAAAAATGAGTTTTTCGGTTGGAGATACCCTAAGTCTAGGTTTTGCTTTTCCCATCTCCATTTCGTTCGGTCGTTCCTTCGCATGAGTGTAGAGTTTTGCACGAGTTCTTCTTCGTTGCTGTTCGACTTCGCTCCTTCGACGACGTTCCCTTCCTGTTTTGGATCGGAAGTTAAGACATTTTTTGATCGGAAGCAACAACGGGAGCTCGCTTGCTGTGAAGGTAACTTTCTTTCTTTCGCGCGCTTCTTCGGCCAAATCCCGTAAATCCGCCGAACCAAAAGATTTCGTAAATCCGGGATTTCCCACGAAAAGAGGGAATTTTCCGTCAACCGCGGCTTTGATTTACCTTGAGATTTGATTTTGCTTTTTTGGCCGTTTGGCTGGATGTAGCTCAAATCTGCTTCAATTGCATTTCACAGCAGCTGAAGAAGACGATAGGAGAAGATGAGGAGGGTTTTTGGAGCGAAGAAGAAACAGGAACCCCCTCCTACTATCCAGGATGCCACCGATAGGGTATTTGACTCTTCCGTTAAGCGCTCAATCTCTATTTTTTCGTTTAATTTATCGTTCTTTATATGTTGACATTTAAAATGTTTCCTATTTAGGACCTATCTAGGAGCATTTAAGATGTTCGAAGAATTTCTTTGAGTTTTTAGTGTACGGGTTGGTCAATCTGTGCTAATCATCCCAAATTATATTTGAACCAACTTGCTTGCTTGTATATTCATTTATTATCCACTACTTGAATATAATTTCTTATTTAATCTTAATTCTTGCAGAATGATGGAAGGCATATTCATCCTATTGAATTTTGTTGTGAATAACTTTTTGTAGTCTAGGGCCCACCTATTAATCCTTCAATATGTGAATGCTAGTCTTTTAGTCTGTTTGGAAGTCCATTTCTATAGTTCATTAATCCGCAATGTTACTATTGGAGGTAGTTCTGCAATTGTTTGTTTTATTTGTTATTATACATAGTTAAACACTTAATACATTTATAAGTTGTGACCAATTTTCGATAATTATGACTAGCTACTTAGCTAATTAAATAAGTTCATTTCTATTTAGATATTAAGTGGTTGATTGACTCCTAACTGATACTAAAACTCCTAGTTATGATTAATTTAATTTATTCACTATTTAAAAACTTAAACATATTTTCTATGATAAGCATCTAATGAGGCATTTTTTCACCAATTATTAGTAGTGATTATATCATTATATGTATTTATTGGATGACATAAGCTAGCTAATTAACTTCATAGAAAAACTTCTTGTAAGAATCTGCGTAACTTTTGGTATTAAACCTTCCCAGTTACCTAGTTTAATGTAGTTCAAAGATGGAAAATGTGGGATGGGGGGGGGGGGTATTTGAGTACTATGGTATTATGACATTAAATGAAAAATATGAGATTTGTAGTACCCGATATCCCACCAAGAAAAAAAATGATGGATATAATAATACATAAATTGAATGATTTAAGAATGGAGAACTAGATGATAACTTGTGGATCTTGTAGGGAAAAAATATTTTAGAAATATGTTTGAATAATTGAGGTGAATTTTATGAGAGAAAAAGTATCTGCGGCAACTTCATTTCTAAAAAAGTAAGAATGTTAAAATTAGGATAGAAGGGAGGAAAAGATGTCTAGCCTATCATTTTTGGAAAAAAATCGGAAGGATACACAGATTTTTTTGAAAAAATTTAAATAAAAATAAAAACATCTTTAATGTAGTTTCTTTCAAGAAAATAGAATGGAGGATTAAATCATAAATCTGCTAGAAATATACAATGAAAATATGTGTTAGACATTATAAATGTGTATATTTGATTATAATAGATAATAAAAAATTTAAATAAAATTTAAGTGTAATTTAAAATGAGGGATTTGTTTATATTTTTTAAATAAAGTATTGAAATTTTTTATTAGTAGAAAATGAAACCTTTTTTTATTAGTTGTATTGATACAAACATGACTATTTATGGTCCATCATTCATGTGTGGCCTATTTTACTTTATTTATGATGCTAAATCCTATGACAGTGAAAGTACAAATTTTAGTAGATTATAACAAAGATTATAACCATGTATGCTAATATTTTCTTTTTGTACTTCTATTTAATTATCATTAATCCTGTATATGCGTGTATGTCCTTTTCGAATTTTGATGCTTCTAAGCATTTATACTTTGTGAATATAAACTAAGAAGAGGGGGGTCGGGGTGGTGGTGGGGATAAAATGTCCAATTAAAATTAACGAAATAAAAAGTATGTTATGGAATTAAAAAAATCTAAGTGCATGTAGATCACAAGTGTCATAATAGTCAAACGTAAGTAAAATAATAAGTGGCTGTGAAGAGTAAGCAATTCCTAATACAAAAAAGCCATACTTCATGTATAATATTTTGTCCATCTTGTGAGTTTGACACTTCCTATGATTATAAGATCTTATGGTTAATTTTTCCAGTCGAGTGTGACACAACTCTTATATAGGGAGATTACATGGTTTTACTCATCTTACACAAATTAAAATTTGTAGGTCTCATTAAAATCATCTTAACTTGACTTGGGAGGTGGATATGAGGGTGATTGTAAACCATGTGTGGGTCCTATTATTCCTTCATTTAGGTGTACTCCATTTTATTGAATTATATAAGAATTGTTGTTAGTATTAACATTTGAATCCAGGAATTTTTTTACATTGAGTTATGGAGCTTTGAATGTGATTGTTGGATGTCTCATTTGTAGCCTTTTCATTCGAAACAATCCCTGCTAGAAGACAGTGGGCGAAAATTTATGCCAAGGGCAAGATATTTAAGGTAGATCTTTATTTTCCCTAGCAGAGTACTTGTTTGCAATGAATATTAATGTACGTAGATTGAATAGTTCAACAATGCAGGGATAGTCATTTCGAATGGATTGAGAGCTTAAACTTAAGTCACCTACCTTGGAACAAGTGATTTAAAAGTTAGAATTGTGGTTCACCTCATAGGGCTAATGATAGAGGCCATTTCAAATGGATTGAGAGCTCAAACTTAGTCACCAGCCTTGGAGTAAATGATTTAAAAGTTTGAATTTTTGGGATCATTGAAATTGATTCCCTAATGGGGCACATGTTTTGGAGTGAACTCTAAACTAACTTTTGATGTGAGTCTCTTGTAAAGTGCATGATCATCATAGGGGGGACGAAGTGTTCATAATTGGGCTTATGATTGGTTTTCATTGGTGGCAACTTCCAACTTCTTAGCATGAAGCAGCCAATATTACATGTCTTTTAAGGCAATTAACTTATTTCAAGTAATTTGAGTAGAAGAGATCATTTGGCAGTATATTTTTGTGAGGTATTGTAACCCTTTGAATAGGATTTCCTTTGAGTGACATGATAACCTTTAATTGAATGTTATGGTGACCTTGTAGTCTTTTGTTAGTAGTTCGTATTTACAATAGTGTTCTATTTACATCATATTCATTGTAGTGGTGCAATAGCATGCTCAGTAGTGTAATAAAATGCTTATCAATGCATTGATGTGCTTATTGGTGCTTGGAATGCTTTTCAGTGTGATGTCATGTTGCTCAGTATACTACCCTTGATCATAGCTTGGAACATTATTTTAACAATTTGGGGTTAGCGCCATTTTTTTGGAGCAATTTGGGAGCTGTTTAAGCATTTCAGGGTGCACTTACTATAGCGTTATGCTCTATTCTGTGCATTATTACCCATATTTTTTAAAATATTATCATATTCTTGGGCCTCTACATAAAGCAAGGTAACTATTTTCTTCATCAAATAAGCTTTGGATCGTGCAATACAACATTTAGCTGCATTGCAATACAACATTTAGTTGCATAAGGACACATAAACTAACCTTGTTGGTGCATATTCAGAAATTATGTTATTAGTGCCCACAAATTTTGTTATGAGTCCACCTTACATTGTCCAGGAATGATTATTAGTCAATAAAAAATGAGCGAGTTAACTAGGATCTATTGTGATAGTTAGAGTGACTTGGATCCCTAGTGTATATACCACTTGATCAATAATGATTTGTTAGGTCAATTATGTTCTTCTCAAAGTATCTTAATTGACCAAGACAAATGATGAGCAAATGATCACACAGGCTTCTTTGAGTTTCTTAAAATTTTTTTCCAACTTTTATTTTTTTAATAGTTTTGATATTTTAAAATAATTTTATGAGATGTGAAAAAATATCATTCACATAATAGCATTTACACGGGCAGGGTCATAAATAGTTTTGTTTGCTTTTATAATTGAGCAATTTAGAGGTGCATATATGCTACTTTGTAAATGAAAAAGAGTATTTTCATAATTTGAGAATGTCAAGCGAGTCATGTGAATCATTTTTAAAGAAGTCATATGATCTTTATATGTTTTCTTAGAATTATTACAGTCCTTTGTGCTATTGTGAACATATTTTTAGGGACTTATTACAAATTTTTAGGTTCAAGGAGCATTCTTATAGTTTTGAAAAATTATTGGGATTAGTTTTATAATTTGGAAGAAGAATTTGGAGTAAATTTGTAGTTTTGAATAGTCCCTAGGTTTGTTATATTCTTTTGGAATGATTTGAAGGGTGTAGATGGAGTAATTGATGCCCTTTGCAAGTTCTTATATAAGATGAGTGGTAATTAACAAAAGAACAAACTTGTGTTGGCGCATTGACATGAATTTGTTTAAAGGCATTTGGGCATAGTTTATGTTGACTATGGGCTAACAGTAAAGGCATATACACGAATTCATATTTCGATGGCAAGGGACTCGGGACTTGAGTTTTCTAAGTGGGAGAAAGTGGTACCTTCAATTTCTTTTAATGGCACTTAGGGAGAAAGTTGTTTAATTGCTATTGGTATATACCCAAAATTTTGAAAAATGTAAGTATAATTTTTGGATTAAAATTTATCCCATTTTATCACACCTCTCTAAAAACATCAAAGCTATTTTTATTAAATTCTATTTTAATTTCGATCCATTTGATATATAGAAGTATATTAAAAAATCAGGGTAATAAAAAAAAAAAGAAAAAAAAAAAAAAAAAATATATATATATATATCATTCATTAAATAGTTGTTTAAAATTTAATTAACAAAATGACACTAATATCTGAATGTTAATGAAAAGGGAAAATGAGAAAAATCATATTATGAGGGATACACCTGTACAAGTAAAAGACGAAAGATCTAATAAGGAAGCCTTAGGGATCATATAGGTGGTACCCGACTCTCAATTATAAAAGTTGAAAATTCAGATCCAATCTTGAATAAGAAAGTTGCACTCTCACTTTTAAAAGTTCGGAATTCGGGCCCAACATTGAATAAGAGTTGTAAGTGTACAAACCTATATTCATCATATGATTTGCCTAAGGTATTTGAAAGTGAACATAATATGAAATGTGAAAAGTTAATATACATATATATCTCAATCAACTTATGATTCTTATATAAATCTCAATATTATTTACAATTGATTTCAAATTTTATGTTTATTATTTCTTAT